TCTTTACAATATGTAAATTGTACATCAGTTGACTTGCTCTTCCAGGCACAGTGGTGCACACATGTAATCCTAGCAACTCAGGAGGCTGAGGCAGGAGGATTACAAGTTCAAAGCCAGCCACAGCAACTTAGTGAGGCTCTAAGCAACCTAGTGAGACCCTATCTCTAAATAAAATACAACAAAGGGTTGGGGATGAGACTCAGTAGTTGAGTGCCCCTGGGTTCAATAGCTGAGTACCAAAAAAAAAAAAAAAAAAAAAAAGACTTGCTCCTTGCTTGTCTTTAATACCAGGAAGTGGTATTAGAATTAGATTTTGTACATCCCCATTCTTCATTTACTGCACTTAGATTCTGTTCACTGGGTCATTTGTTTAAGAGCAATTCAGATTCTCCAGTTATGATTTATTTTATCAAATGACAATTGTTAGATAAAATCCTACCAAAAACTTCCATTGGTTTAAGAGCTTTATATGTTGCACAGAATTTCTAGATACTATAATGTGTTTATTCATGATGATTCTGTTAAAAGAAGACAGTAATGGTATGCATATATGTGAAATGCCTAGTTTCATTCCACTGATTTTAACAAGTACCTATCGTGTGCAAGTTGCCTGTGAGCCACACTAGAGGACAGTGGGATCCAGAGATGCACTAGGTACAGACCCATTCTTAGTACTGTTAATTAGGTGTATGTTGCATCGTCAGAGTAACACTGAATGAATTTGTATAGCATTCGGTGTGGGTATTTAGGAATAGCAAAATAGCTCATAGATGGACAGCAGGAAGGGAACATACGGATAATCCAAGGATGAGTGGATCTCTGAAAAATAAAGATTTGTCTACACTTAGAACAAGGCCTGAGGTATCGGCCTAAAGAACTAAGAAAAACTAAGAGACCTTCAATCACAAGTTAGTGAAGCCACCTAGTGGTTGGTTACTTGTGTTAAGGTGTGTGGACATGAAGCAGTTCTGTGGATTGTATAACTAAAGTTCTGATCACTTTTCACTAAATCCAAAAAACAGGGTCAGTTATATTGACGATAAGCATATTGTACCACTCTGTCTGATGCTTTGTTTATAGTTTTTATGAAACAGGATTTAAGGCAACTCACATGAACTAGAACATGAGAACAAAAAAGAAAAGATCATAATGAAGACATAAAAAGCAGCCCCTGAGTTGTAATCATTAAAAAAAATGCCTACTAAATCATATATATATTTTAATATCTTTATTTTATTTTTGTGTGATGCTGAGGATTGAACCCAGGGCCCCATGCATGCTAGACAAGTGCTCTACCTCTAAACCATATCCCCAGCCCCAAAATCATATATATATATATATATATATATTTATATATATATATATATATATATATATATATATATATATAAATGAAAAGACTAAATTTCCAACTTAAAGTAGAAACTGATCAGTTATAAAATTTGATGTCCAGAAAGTTAAAATAGTGTTTAGGAAAAATAAAATCCCATTTGATGCTGAGAACAGACACATTTCTTCTGGGTGTCCTGAGGAATGGGCTAATAAGTAGTGGAATGCATAACATTTTCCTCTCATAGTAGAAATCATTCTAAATCTTGGAGGATTTTTTTTTCTGTTTTTAAATTGCATCTACACTGATTTGGAGGAGAATGTGCCCGCCTTGTATTTGAAGGGCTTATATTAATCTGTCAAGCCTCACAGTAGGCCTTAGGGCATAGGTAGGAGTATTGCCATATAGCAGATGAGGCAACTGAGAGGCAGAGAACTTCCCTGTGGTCAGGCTGTTAATATATAGTGAGCTGGGATCCAAACTGGACAGTCTGGGTCTTTTCTGATTGGGCAATGAAGTATATAAAAGGCCCATCTAATGAAGAGGACAGCACTCAGGTTTTCTCCCCCTCAGTTTTTCCAGTCTGTAGGGAATTGGAAAGAAGAAAAAGTATATTCTATAAAAGGACCTATCTATAAAGTTCTATGTAGATAACCCTCTCTAAAAACAAATTTCCATGACACTTCAAAGGTGCACTTAGTTCCATGAAGATTCTAATGTTTCTAAAAGATTTAGCCTCTGTATGGGGGACAATGTGATGGCCTGATACACAAGACTGATAAAGAACTTTTCAGAATGATAGCCTGTTAATGGCTTGCTGAGTTCTCGAAAGATTCATCCCATCGAGGGAAAGTAAATAAGACAGAGTGGTTTTTCTGCATCTATTGAGATGATCATATGATTCTTATCTTTGAGTCTTATTGATGTGATGAATTACAGTTATTGATTTCCGTATGGTGAATCAACCTTGCATCCCTGGGATGAATCCCACTTGATCATGGTGCACGATCTTTTTGATATGTTATTATATTCGATTTGCCAGAATTATATTGAGAATTTTTGCATCTAAGTTCATTAGAGATATTGGTCTAAAGTTTTCTTTCTTTGATGTGTCTTTGCCTGGTTTTGGAATCAGGGTGATATTGGCCTCACAGAATGAGTTTGGAAGTGCTGCCTCTTTTTCTATTTCTTGAAATAAATTGGGGAGTATTGGTATTAGTTCTTCTTTAAAGGTCTTGTAGAACTTGGCTGTGTATCCGTCCAGTCCTGGGCTTTTCTTGGTTGGTAGGCTTCTGATGGTGTCTTCTATTTCATCATTTGATATTGGTCTGTTTAAATCGTGTATATCTTTCTTGTTCAATCTGGGCAAATCGTATGACTTAAGAAATTTGTCGATACCTTCAATATCTTCTATATTATTGGAGTATAAGTTTTCAAAATAATTTCTAATTATCCTCTGTATTTCTCTAGTGTCTATTGTGATATTACCTTTTTCATCATGTATGCTGGTAATTTGAGTTTTCTCTCTCCTTCTCTTCGTTAGGGTAGCTAAGGCTCTGTCAATTTTATTTATTTTTTCAAAGAACCAACTTTTTGTTTTGCCAGTTTTTTCAATTGTTTCTATTTCAGTGATTTAGACTGGTACAGAATAGAGGACACACTAACACTAATAGAACACACACTAACCCACAAAATTATAATTATCTTATATTAGACAAAGGTGCCAAAAACATGCATTGGAGAAAAGATAGCCTCTTCAACAAATGGTGCTGGGAAAACTGGAAATCCATATGCAACAAAATGAAATTAAACTCCTATCTCTTGCCATGCACAAAACTCAACTCAAAGTGCATCAAGGACCTAGGAATTAAACCAGATACTCTGAGTTTAATAGAAGAAAAGTAGACCCTAATGTTCATTATGTGGGATTAGGCCCTGATTTTCTTAATAAGACTCCTATAGCACAAAAATTAAAACCAAGAATCAATAAATGAGATGGATTCAAACTAAAAAGTTTTTTCTCAGCAAAAGAAACAATCAGTGAGGTGAACAGAGAGCCTGCATCCTGGGAGCAAATCTTTACCCCTCACACATCAGATAGAGCACTAATCTCTAGGGTATATAGAGAATTCAAAAAGCTAAGCACCAAAAAAACCCAAATAACCCAATCAATAAATGGACCAAGGACCTGAACAGACACTTCTCAGAAGAGGATATACAATCAATCAACAAATATATGAAAAAATGTTCATCATCTCTAGCAATTAGAGAAATGCAAATCAAAACTACCCTAAGATATCATCTCACTCCAGTCAGAATGGCAGCTATTATGAAGACAAACAACAATAAGTGTTGGTGAGGATGTGGGGGAAAAGGTACACTCATACATTGCTGGTGGGACTGCAAATTGGTGCAGCCAATATAGAAAGCAGTATGGAGATTCCTTGGAAAACTGGGAATGGAACCACCATTTGACCCAGCTCTCCTCGGGCTATACCCAAAGGACTTAAAAACAGCATACTACAGGAACACAGCCACATCAGTGTTTATAGCAGCACAATTCACAATAACTAAACTGTGGAACCAACCTAGATGCTCTTTAGTAGATGAATGAATAAAAAAATGTGGCATATATACACAGTGGAATAGTACTCAGCAATAAAAGAGAATAAAATCATGGCATTTGCAGGTAAATGGATAGCATTGGAGAAGATAATGCTAAGTGAAGTTAGCCAATCCCCAAAAAACAAATGCTGAATGTTTTCTCTGATATAAGGCAGCTGATTCATAGTGTGGTAGGGAGGGGGAGCATGGGAGAAATAGATGAACTCTAGATAGGGCACAGGGGTGGGAAGGAAAGGGAAGGGGAAGGGGGTTAGCAAGGATGGTGGAATGTGATGGACATCATTATCCAAAGTACATGTATGAAGACACGAATTGGTGTCAACATACTTTATATACAAACAGAGATATGAAAAACTGTGCTATATATGTGTAATAAGAATTGTAATGCATTCCACTGTCATTTATTTTAAAAAATCAATTTAAAAATTTTAAAAAATAGACAGAGTGGTACTGAGCCTTTGATGTAGAAAGCATTGGCTAGGAATCAAGATGCTTGGGATTCCCAGGTTCCGGCATTTCTAACAAAGGGAGCTTCTGGGGGAGTCACCCTCATTGTGAACTTTGCAGTAAGACTTGGGTTTAAATATTAATCCTAGAACCTGTGAGCAGGATGACAGCGAATTAGTTAAGTTCTTTGAGCCTCCATTTCTTCATCTAACAATTGGCTTAAATACAGAAATTATATTAGTCATTCACCACACACAGGTACTGTGCTTGTATATCTTTAATCTTTATAACAATCTTAGATGAAATATTTACCATTGTTTAACCCATTTTGCAGGTGAGATCTCTGAGAGAATAAAGTGAAGAGTTTAATATGTTTGTGGAAAGTGCCCTATCACCTTGTACTCAGCAGATTCTGCAGACATGGTAGCTGATGGTGTTCCTGCTGGCTCTATCTCATTCATCCCTTGCTCTTCTTGTAGGCATGCTTTGAAGATTAGTCAAAAGGGAGGTCATGCGTTAAAGCAACATGACAGTCAAGAATGAGGTAGAGGTTTAGGCCAGAGGGTATGAATAATACTGAATTTTAATTTTCTTACAGGAGTGGCAAAAACTTAACTATGATATCTATGCCCTGCGGCAGATTCGAAGGGAAGTGAGAAACAGATGGAAACGCATTTTAGAAGATTTGGGTGAGTCTGAAAGAAATTGTGAAATGGTAAAAATAACCAGTTGTGATCATTACTCTTTCCACCATGGTTTTTACAAAAGGAATGGCAGTAATTGGCTAATTAAAACTACCGTGTACTAATTATTTTCCCAATCCTGCTCTCATATCCTCAAGCAAAAAACCTCTGATATTTCTGTTTTCACCAGCCCATGTCTCAAGGACATACTGTGCCATGTGCTACTCCATCTGTCCCCATACAGGGTAGCACAGGGCAGTGAAGTCATCCGGGGACTACGATTTACTATTTCCCCCGTACATTGGATTAAATGGAGATAATTGGCCAGTTACTAATAGCTTTATAGATGAGGCAGGCTAGGACACATTTGGTTGTAAGAGAGGCAGCAAGACTTGGTACAAAATTTCTGAACAAGTAGAAGGAAGAAAAGTTTCAAGGTTGGGAAAAAAACCCTTGTAGCATTAGAGTAGATACCAGGTAATAGTTTTTCTTAATTCTACCAGGTTGTGATGTGATAAATATCATAAAATAAATCTGTCTTAATATTTATATTAACTATTAAATAATATAAGATTAATATAAAAATTAATATAAAATAAACTTCTTATCATAAAATAAACCTGTTTTAATATTTACAAAATGAATTTATCAATTTTGAAGTCCTTGGTCCTTCTGCTTTGAAAGCGCACAATGTCCTGGGATTGTCACTTTTCAAAAGAGGGTGCCATGTGATAGCCCTTGATGCTTTAGTGGGATGCCGTGGGTTGAGGTGGGCCTCTGCCTTCTTAACTCACCCGATATTCTCGTGAATTAATAGTCTTCTTTTTACAATTAAGCTATTCTCTGAAGGTTTAAGTCTTGGGGTCTTTTCTACCTATGGGTAAGTAATTTTCACCAGCCAACCATATTTCTCTGAGGAAGAAAATCTGGGCTTGGAGAAATAGGGATCTGGAGGTGATGCAGGGCGAGTGGGTGGGGGGGCAAGAAGGAATTCTAGAGACAGGGCCTCGAGGAGGCAAGAGTAGAGCGGACAGGGACGAGGGTTTCAAACTAAACAAAGGGCCGAAAGAGGCAGTGGGTGAGTATGTGCTTTTAACTCTGAAGGACAATTTAACACGGAAAAGCCAACTGGGAGAAACAGCAAAAGTATTTTAATTAAAGACTCTGCCAGTCACACAGAGCTGGGGAGCAGCACATGGAGTAGTGCCTCTGGCCCAATCTTCCGATGTTTGTATACATTCTGTATTCGGGTCCCTTTTCATCTATCTCCTAGGGGGCAGGAACCTTATTGCAGGGCAGACATTTCCTAGTGGCTACTTTGCATGAAGGTCAATCTTCTTGCCTCAGGTTTTCAAAAGGAAGTGGATTCTTTGTTGTCGGTGACTAAACTCAGCACCATGAGTGATTCTAAAAACACAAGGAAAGCTCGAGAGATGCTGCTGAAACTGGCTGAAGAGACCAGTATTTTTCCAAGAAGCTGGGAGCTCTCAGAGAGATACCTGTTTGTCGTGGTAAGTGGATGCCTTTTTTTTTTTTTTTTATCTGCCCTAATTTTGCTTTGATTTTTGCCTTTTCTAGTATTTAATGTGCTCTTCATTCTGAAGCCACCAGCCACCACTGCAGGAGGAGGTAGCAGCTCATGCTGCCATCCTATGCACTGGCTTCCAGTGGCCAAGTGGCACCAGAGTCACCTGAACAGCTTTAAAAATCCAGTTTTCTGGATTACACCTAAAGCTCTTGCAGCTTGGGGTGTGGTTCAAGAGCCTGTTTTGTTGTTAATTCTGCTGTGTAGTTAGATTTTTGAATGATTTGTAGGTCGAAGAGATGTAAGGGATATTGCTTATATAACCTAAGATTGAAAAGTCATTTGGAAGGACCCCAAGACTGGTGGAGTGTTTCTTGGGTAATGTAAATAAAGGGTGAAGGTATGTTTTTAAATTTGTTGGGAAAAATTTAATAAATATTTTACTTGTTCATTATTATTTCTAGGGTGGTTTTGTTTTTATTAGATTGATTTTGCTTAGCAACCATCTTTGTTTCTCTTATTTATTTATTTATTCATTCATTTTTGCAGGACCGTCTTATTGCTCTTGATGCTGCAGAAGAGTTCTTTAAAATTGCTAGTCGAACTTACCCCAAAATGCCTGGGGTCCCTTGCCTGGCTGATGGCCAGAAAGAACCACACTACCTTCCATTTCCAAGTCCCTAAAGGAGACTAAGAGGCAGAATGGGAATCCTTCCACTCGGACTCAACAGCAAACCAAAGTTGGATGTTTGCACGTAGAAGATTGCCAGCAAGTAGAGGGCCTAATCAGAAATAATCCTGAGCTCTACAACAATGTCGGGTTTTTGTGAGGACTTCTAAGAAATGTTCTGGTTTCATTGAAGCATCCTGGTGATCTTGCATCTAGAAAGAAAGTTGAAGAGTTGGTCAGTGGGGGAATTCATGATGGTAATTAGATTCTAAGAGCCCATTGTCCCAACCTTCATTTTGGTTGTACAATAAGCTCCGATCATTGGTCCTATTTGGGGAATAGGATATTCTAATTACTAAAGCAATAGAGCTATCATTGAGCCCCAAATAATTAGAATAAAACATAGGCTAACCCCTCATCTCAAAAGACTAGGCATTATGTGGCCTCTCTTTGATTTGGAAAAGCCTGCAGAACATTGGAGGGTGTCCCAAGTGTCATTCTCAATATCAGTTATGATTATTGATGAATCGGTAGAAAGGCCCAGGAGAGATGCTCAGAAGTGGATTCCAGCTAGCATGGCCTTTAGGCAAACTTCTTGTCACTACAGATGAAAAGTTCTGTCTTCTTATGCGGTACATGCATCTTAACACCCTCAACTTTGTTATCTGGTGACCTCATTTTTGCATATTGTCCATTTCTAGTTCAAAGCCCCTGACATTTAACTGGGATAGCATCTGTAAACTGAAGATGTGTGACCTTCACTTCCTTCTCTTGTCTTTAATCTGTTTCCGACTTGTGAGCCAAGAGTCTCACCTGCCCAGGGAGCACCTATGCAGACCTGCAGATGTGCAGGAAGCAAGGCTATTGCTGGGCTTTCTTTGCAGATGATTTTCACATTGGAGCAATGCTATCCACAGAGCTTGCTTCTGTCCACAGCTTCAAAAGTTACTTGCCACTTAAGCAAGGAGCTTGCCAAGAGACTGTGGTTCATTTTGTTGAAAAGCCTTTAGGGATGTGTAGGATTTATCAGTAGAGTGCTGAGAACAATGGCAATATTATTATTATTATTATTATTATTTTTTACAGATTTTGCACTTCTGACTTCAGGTTAAAAACTAACTTGTATTAGTCCAAGAAATTGTGACTTGAAAATTTTCATAACATGATTAACTTTTTGGGTAGTGTCTACTATGTTTAAAATATTTCCTAAAAGATACATGTTCTCCATTTATTAATGCATTACAGGACAATTTAGCTGATGTGTTTCTGGAAAATCCTTTCTAGTTTAATAAATAAACTAAAAGTTTTATTTAAAAAATATTTAGTACTTAAACTCTTGTCTCATGTTGTTTAAAATTAGCCTGCAGATATTTTCCTCACTTCTGTAGGCTCTTGGAAGATAAACATACAAATAGCAAAACAAGCAATAAAATAAAAAGATAATCTTAGAATGTCATATGGTTTTAATATCTGCACTCAGAATTTATATTTTGTCTTTCTGACTTTTTCAATGTCAAAGTAGATGAGATTATTTGCATCTATGGAGTTATAAATTGTTACCATAGTTTTTATTTTTGGTAATGAACCAGTAAGAATAAGATTGTCTGTATGATTACTAAAATACATGGAATTATCCAGAAATTTTTTTCCAAGGAATTAAAAAGCTTCTGTATTTACTTGCAAGTTGGATGTGTGTTATATTTTGGAAAAATAAAAAGGAATAGATATCCTTTCCATAATCTCTTTCAATTAAAGGGCAGAGAAGCCAAGAGGCAGATGGGTTGAAGGACCTCCTGTCATCCTAAACACAGTCAAGAGGTGGATCTGTACTGCAGTGAGTGGAAATGGCTGGGTGGTGAAGGGCTCAGGGGTGACTGAGGTGGCCACTTCAGAAGTCACTGTGTGCTCAGCAGGACCAGGGGCTGCAGATGTGCAGGAGATTGGAGGGCTTTCTTATGTTTAATCATCTCCTTGTTGATGATTTCTCAAAAGTTCATCTGAATATGCAGGATGATTTCAAGTGGTAGATGGATGGAAGTGTTTATATTAATTGCTATTTATTTTAGGATATGCCAGGGGAAAATCCCTGTAACTAGCAGATCAAATACCTGATTTTGTATTTCATGAATATTATTGCACAGCACAATAAAGGAAGGCACGTTTTCTAAAGAATGTATTGGTGAGGGCCACCAGTGTCACTTAGAAGCTCTATCTATGGCAGCTCCGTGGGCTAGATGCTGACAGAGCAGTGGGACTATTGGCAGCAAAGGCGTGACGGAATGGGGGCCTCGTGGCAACGTTCCACTGTCAGAGCAATGTGGGCACAATTATCATAATGAGTGGCCCACAGAGAGCTTTAGTGATGGTTAATAGAACATGGCCGATTAGATGGGTAAACAATAAGAATATTTTTCAGGCCATGCCACTGAAAGGTCTTAAGGATGGATGATCAGGAGGTAGGACACAGCTGCCTTAACAAACGTTATGATCTCTTGCCAAGTTTCCAGGCCAAGGCTATTCTTCAAGTCCAGAAACTATTCACTAAAGGAAAGATGGATCCTCAGAAAGGATTTGTGATACCATTGCAAGGGAGTATGACAATATGCTTAATTACCTGGCTACCTGTACACTGAAGAAAGGTGGTACACAGACACTCAGAGGACCATGAGGCACAAGGTCCACATTGACGTTGCTACTCAGGATATTATTGCCATTCTCCTTTTAGAATGGAGGCATATGGCATTCAGATAATATATGGACTTTTCTCCCAGGTCTTACATGAGGTCCACTGAATTCACAGATGTACCCGGTGGTGATCTCCCCACTTCCAGATAAATAATTGCCTGTACTTCCTTGGACGCTGGCAGAAGCTCTGTTCTTTTCTTGTCTTGTGGGTTAAAAACCGTTTTACTAGGAAAGCCAAGTAGAAACTTCTGAAAGTTATCCACTCCCTGGCCAAGACAGTAAACCAAAATCAATATTCCATCCCAGGAGATGGCAGATAAGTAACATCTGTATTGTTCAAATGTACTGAGTTTTTATCTAGCATCTATTTTTGTTTCAGGATCCCATCTAGGACGCCATATTGCATTTAGTTGCCATCTTTTAGCTATGACAGTTCTTAGGCTCTCCTTGCTTTCAATGACCTTGACAGTTTCAAAGAGTACTGATCAGGAATGTAGAAGAGAGAGAGGAGACAAGCTGGCCGTGGGGCTGTAGGTTGTCCTATTAGCTTTCTTCATACAATTTTCCTTGGAAAAAGAAACACACCAGAATCCTGGAGGAGACTCCCTCAGATCTGGTAATAAAAACCAAGTGGCTCTGAGTGGCACAGAGGGTAGATTGTGGCATAGGATGTAGGGCACTGCTCAGGTCCCCTGCTTGGGGCCTGACCTGTTCATTCCCTTAGCTACTGACAGTACTGGTTTTGACCTCTCAGGTGAGTTCCTGTCTGGACATTGCCATCAGCTGATGACATCTGCCTTGCCCAAGCTTACTGTGCCCCCGGGGCATCCTGTGTCAATTGACTAGTCCATTGGTGCAGTGTATGAAGGGTTAGCCCAGCTCTAGAGCTCCCTGTTAGATTGGCAGAAGATTCTACTGTGACCCCATCTCAGTTCCAACATAGTTACTTGCTAATAAACATCTTGCATGCCAATCTTCATTTCAGAATCTTTTCTCCAGGGAACTTAATCGTGACAGTATCTGAGTCAACAATATAATACCCAAGCCTGTGTTTATAGCTATCATTTTCATAGTGATTCTATGTTCCTTTGAGTATAATTAGTCCAGTTTTACTGTAATTACTCTATTGAAATACATATTATTTCTTTGTGAATCATTTCTAAATGTATGTATCTTTTATATTAGGGCTTTATTTCTAAGTTTTATTTTAGGTACAGTATTATTTAATACTGTAAATTTATTTAAAAGAGTAGACAAATGTTTTTTAGAGAGCCTTGTTAAAGTTTCCTTTAGTTAAAACTTTTGCGTAAGTTTCCCTAGGATTGATCTGTATAGAGGCAGTAGCTTTGGAAAAGGACAGCATTAACAACAGCAGAAACTCATTTATTGGATTATTTTCCAGTGATCAGAGAGCGATCTTGGCACAGACCTGGCTTCCTTTCATGGGATTCATGTACTTATTCATGTCCTCAAATCATTCTATTACTAATACCACAAGAAAACGTTTAATTGTATTAAATTGAATTAAAAGGGGCATAGTTTTATAAACTTCAAATGACATATACAGAATGAAAATGGCCAGCCACTTTGAACTTTCCGTTTACAATGCTTCAAAAAGTGTTATTGGCTTCTAAAGTACTCTTTTATATTTAACACTACAGATGGACACTTGGTTTCCTGATTTTTAAGTCATTGAACAAATAAGTTTAGATTGCTCAAGAGCTAAATGGGGTTTATTTGATACCATGTCTCATCTAGGTTCTAAATATTTAGAGAGAATAATATTATAAATTAAAATTGTGACATTTAAAATAGCTAAAGAAATCATAAACCTGTAGTTCATTACTTTTTCAAAACTCAACAACTCTAGTCATTAGGTGGCAATTTCCTTTAAATATTCTTTAAAATTAATTGTGAAAAATACGTATACGTGTAACAGAACCTTATCATATAACCTAGAGACATGTAGTTAGCATTTGAAGCATGCTGATCAGGAATTCACTTTTCAAAGCTGGTGGTTTAATCGTTTCAATTATCTTTATCAAAATGTACACCAGAAAGTTCATTAGGTTGCATAAAGTACGTTAGGAATATTTTTGAAATGAGTGATAGTCAAGACAGTGATAGCTAGAAAGACTGTTGGTCTCCATCATCTTTTCCTGAAGATGATGTTAAGAATCTGTTAAACCCTGCCATGTTCAAGGCCCAGAGCCCTATTTGTTCTTTGTCTGCTTCACAGATCTGTCAGTATGTTGTCAGATCTTGTTATCAGAATATTGTTGTGTCTGCCGAAGAATCAAACTTTCACTCAGGTGTTAGTACAACTTTTATTTCAACATTGTGTGCTTGGGAACTGAAAGGAAGACTTCTCTGGGGTTACAGGTAGCAAATGTATAATTTCTGATTAATTAGCATTATATGTTTAGAAGAATTTGGGCTTTGACCTGATTTCATTGCACCCTGCCACCTGATTACAAGAATACAGAGGAAGAAAAATATAGCCTTCACTTCCTCTTCCAGTTGCTGAAGATCACTGGGGTTTACTAAAGGCCTGAATATTTGCTGAAAGGTCACATCAGCTTAGATCAATTTTGAACACATTTTTAAAATATACAAGTAATTAAGAAAATTTTAAGACAAAAAATCCACAATAATACTAGAATTCTAATGCAATAATTCATAGGCATTTGGGAGATTTCATTCTTTTTATGGGTGTATTTGAAATTTGTATATATTATTTTATATCCTAATTTTAAAATTGTGACTAGAGTTTATGAACTCAAATGCCCTTTAGGGGCCACTGGATAGGTCCTGTGGACCTAAGGGGTTGTGTGTTCCCTGCCCTAATGGAATGGTCACGTGTCAGCTCCAAGTGATTGTTCTAATAATGTAAAAGGACTAAGTTTTTGCCAGTTTTTCTGATATTTTTTAGTGATCAAATAAACATTATATTTGTGTAAGTTTTTATTTTTTAATTTTGAAATGTCAACTATTAAACTAAAAATTTGAAAACTATAAACCAAAGATCTATACATGAGTCAGACAGCTTAGCACAATTTCATAAGCCATAACCATTTTGTTACTAAGTAGCCTCTGAAACTATCATTTTTACAAAGGTTAATATTTAATAGAGTAGATGTCACAAACCTTATAATCTTGCATTTATTTTTAGATATTCAGAGATCACTTCCAATTTTCTCTATAGTGAACGTCTTTCATGAGCATTGCTTTGTTCTGTGTTCTTGGTGGAATCACAGAAGCGGGAATGAATATTTAAAAAATTATTTATGTGCATCATCAAAATCCTCTCCAAAAGGCTTGTAGTAATTTATGCTATCACTTAGAAATGATGTATAAAAATACAGTTTCGTCATTGAAATGTATTGTAATAAAAACATGGGCAAAGGAAAGAATGCTACCTCCTTGTTGATTTAATTTGCATGTCTGTTTATTGGATTGAATGTCATTCCATATGCTTGTTTGCCACTTTCCTTTCTTTTGTGATGTGCCTATGTTAGTTTTGTCCCCTGTGGGGCAGAGCGAACCCCTACTTTGATATTTTAACAATGTCAATCTATGCAACAGCTAGGTATAAATTAGCATCAACACCTGCTTGTGTTTACAACATCTGTTCTATGGGGCCTTTCTTTTCTCTAATAGTTCTCAGCCTGCCTCTGTGCTTCTCACTATCCCACACAGCGGTATTCATAAAACAGGCAAAATGGACTCAAAGGTATCTTTGAATAGCCTTAGATGCCAGCTGAGCCTCTTTAATTCATGTTGTGGGATATAATTCTCAAGGATGAAGACTGCTTGAGTTTTACGTTTACATTTTTGATGAGTTACTGAATTACCATTTATGAATTATTTTGAATTGACAAAGACAAGTCAGAACACTGTGATGGGGTACAAGACTAATTCCTGGTTTTGAGATTACATAGTCAAAATTCCAGAGCTCACGTG